GTAATTTTGCAAAATGTATTGAAATGTATTGATTTCATTTTACTTCTTCCTCTATAAGAGTCACAATATTAAGGTTCTAGTGTTGGAAAAATATGCAAAATGGTGCAAATGAGTCTCTCTTTTTTTTTTTGAACATCCTAACATATTTCTAAATACTTTTGTTTATAAAATGTTCAACATAAACAGAATTCCTAATAGCAAGTGTGTTATGAAGATTTTAGTGGCACTTGTTTTGGTTGAGTTATATATCAATCGAGCAGTAGAGGGAGGCATCCTCAATAAAACCTTTATGCCACCTGCACCGGAGTTTTCTGCATTTAATACATTGAAGTAGAGGTGACATTTTACCTGTCCCTTCATAGATTCAACAAATCACCATTGCCAGAGATGTAGGTAACACTGCTCTGGTACTGAATAAAGAACCACCAGAGAGGCAGAAGTTAGTTTTCTCAGTGGTACTCTGGGGCAAGGGCCGGCCTTAGGCCGATTCAGCTGATTCCCGGCGTGGGGCCCCGCACTCAGGGAAGCAATGCATGTGCAGTGCACCCGGAGCACGATGATTGCATGGGGCCCCCAGGCGCACGGCGCATGCGTCATGACATCCCAGGCATACGCGTTGTACTCCCGGGGCACTGCATATGTGAGGGCCCACCGTGCATGTGTCGTAACGTCCAGGGCCCTGCCCCTGGAATTGGTCCCCACGCTCTGTAGAGGTGGCCCTGTCTGGGGCTATTAAAAACATGGCATAGAAGTCTGAGGAGTCTCAAACCCACAAAAAGGAAAGAAGCTTAGCAAGGGAAGCAGCTATAGGACTCGGATACATGGTTTTGATGTTCAAATAATGCTTTTAATGATGGAATATTTTTAAGTTATGACAAGGGCTTCTGAATGTGGGAGCTATCATTCTTTTGTGGGCTGTTGTGCATGCAGCCAGCCTCTTGGCATTCTAGTGGAAAAAGAAACAAAAAACAGGACTATGTAGCACTTTAAAGACTAACAAGATGGTTTATTAGGTGATGAGCTTTCGTGGGCCAGACCCACTTCCTCAGATCAAATAGTGGAAGAAAATTGTCACAACCATATATACCAAAGGATACAATTAAAAAAAAAATGAACACATATTCACTTTGCTGATACCATTATTGGACCTAACCACGTGAGTTATAAGATCAAGAACACATATTCCTGCACATCCAGAAATATAATTTATGCTATCATGTGCCAAAAGTGTCCGTCTGCTATGTACATTGGACAAACGTCTCAGAAACTTCGCCAAAGGATCAGTGCCCACGAAACAGATATTAGGCAGGATCACAAAGAAAAAACAGTTTCTTGCCATTTCAACCAGACAGGACATTGTCTTAACGACTTGATTACCTGCATCCTGCTTCAAAGGCCTTTTAAAACTACATTTGAAAGAGAATCCTCTGAACTGTCATTCATACTTAAATTCGACACTTTATGCCTAAGTTTGAATAAAGACTCTAATTATCTTATCCATTACAAAGATAGCTTCCCTAATTATCACCTCTAATATCATTAGCTCACAGACATTTACCTCCCCCCTGTCCACCCCCCTTCTGTTCTGAAATTTGATTTGTCCTTTTCATATGTGTTCATTTTTTAAAATTGTATCCTTTGGTATATATGGTTGTGATAATTTTCTTCCACTATTTGATCTGAGGAAGTGGGTCTGGCCCATGAAAGGTCATCGCCTAATAAATCATCTTGTTAGTCTTTATAGTGCTACATAGTCCGGTTTTTTGTTTCAGCTACACCAGACTAACACGGCTACATTTCTATCACTAGTGGAAGAAGTGCCATCTAGTGGTATTTTTGCAAATTGGGGCAGAGTATTGCAGTTGACTTAACCTCTTATTTTTATATAAAAGTAATATTGATTGGTAATTTTTTTCTAACGAATGTTCTAACAGAAATGTAGGTTTTAACTTGTAAACTTTCTTTGTGTAGGCAAGATTTATCTCAGACTGCACAGGCATTTGTCAAGCTTAATAAATAAGCTTAATCTGCCATCCCCCGAGGTCACAAGCTACAGTAGTTGTTACAAAGTGCTGTTTACTAAAGAGCAGCTGACATCCCCTGAATATCTTTTCCAAGTATCCTGTGTAGCATGCATACCATGTTTGTCTGAATTGGCCTGCCTAATACTTGAGCATATTTGATTTGCATGAAAGCATGTTTATCTAGTCCTCCTGCTTCTTCTCCCACATTAAATCGTAGCTTGTATCTGCTAGCTCAGTTGGGCGCTTTGGAAAGGAATATAATGTCACCAACTTGCTTATGACTTCAAATGGGAGAGAAAGCAACAGGTGCGGAGGAGAGTCTGATGAACTCCCCCTCCTCCTCCTAAAGCCCAGAAAAAGCCCAGTGGCTTTGTAAGCTCCATGTTAGGAAATCCTCCCCCCTCTCATTAAATGTGGTCCTAGGAGATAGAAACAATGGCTGGAGACACCAATGAAGCCAAATGGTCAAAGAGCCAGGTGGGGGACTTGTAATCCCCGAGAAGGAGCCTAGTGCTCTTATGGCTCCCACAGAACAGCATTGGTTCTGGGGACTGACTTGCTTTTAGGTCCATGGCTAGGGGAGGTAAGATGATAAATACCCCTATGGTTCATCAAAGGAAAATTCTTTGAGAAGCTCCTCATAGAGTTTTCCATTCCCCAGGTCCTCTCCCGCAGGCACATGCATGGGCTGGAGCAACCCGGGTCATTGTTCTTAAGTTTTCCTGTCTCTTTTTTCCTTTATATATGTGCTGAACAGAAATGCTTCTTTTCCATTCAGTTTTGCTCTCTTCTGTTATGCCAACAACTGCTGTGTCTGGGTATGTCTACACTGCATTCCTCTTGAGAGAGGAATGCAAATGCAGCCGAGTGAAATTGCAAATGAAGGGTGGATTTGAATTTATCGCACTTCATTTGCATAATCGTGTCCGGCTGCTATTTCGAAATACCCTATTTCAAGATGATAAACGTTATGTAGATGCGGTTATTTTGAAAGAAACACCTTCTTTTGAAATAACCCTTATTCCTTAAAAAATGAGGCTTAATGGTAAAATCTCCGCTCTTGGGTTTGTCTCCTCATAAAAATAACAATTTTTTTTTTTTGTTTGCCTTTAGAAACCCAAACATCCTACAACAGGGCTAATTGCCATCATGCTGGCATTTCACATATGTAGTGAAGTTCACCTGGCAGGATTTAAGTACAGCTTTGCTGACCGAAACAGTTCTTTGCACTATTATGGCAATGAGACCATGTCTCAGATGATTGAGGTAATGTACTGTTTTGTTTTATGGGAAATGCTTAGAGTAAAATAATCTTGAGCTAGTAAGTTGGGAGAGGAACAGGCCTGGTTTAGAAGTCAGAAAGTCTTGAAGTTTTATTCCTGGCTCTACCACTAACTGGCTATCTGCCAGAGGCAAATCACTTTACCCTGCCTCAGTTTCCCTATTTGTAAAATGGATGGAACTAATCAGACACTTTCCAATGGACTGTTTTCCATTTGGAAAATGCCAGTTTTGTCAAATCTGACTCATTCTGCAGAAACATGAACTGTTTCATAGAATGATATAAATATAGGACTGGAAGGGACCTTGAGAAATCACTGAGCTCCACCTTCCCACTCTGAGCCCGAACCAAGTAAACCTAGACCGTCTCAACTAGGTGTTTCTTTCTAGCCTGTCCTTAAAACCTACAATACTAGGGAATCCACAGCTTTCCTTGATAACATATTCCACAGCTCAATTGTCCTTATGGTTAGAACATTCTTCCAAAAGTCTAAACTAGCTCTCCCTTGCTGCAGATTAAACCCATCTTCTTATCTGCCTTCAGTGGACATGGAGAACAACTGACCTCCATCCTCTTTACAACAGTTCCTGATGTATTTGAAGACTGTTATCACTTCCCCCTCAACCTTCTTTTCTCAAGACAAAACAAAGGCCGTGTTTCATTATTTGTATTGCTGTCCTCTGAACTCATTCCAATTTGTCCACATTTTTCTTAAAGTATGGCACCCCAAATTGGACACAGTGCTCCAGTGGAGATCTCACAAGTGCAGAGTAGTGTGGGACAGTTACCTCAGGTCTTACAGATGATGCTCCTGTTAAGTAAACCCCTGAATAATATTAGCCGTTTTCACAACTGCATCACATTGTTGGTTCATGTGCAGAATGGAACCAGAATTACTCCTGACTCTCATCAACTTGCAGTCCATGATAACCTTCAGAGCTCTTTGTAGTACCAACCCCTACCCTACCCAGTTATTCCCCATTTTGTAGTTGTCCATTTGATTTTTGTTTTTCTAACTATAGTACTGTGCACTTGTCTTTATTGAATTTCATCTTGTTGATTTCAGACAAATTCTCCAATTTATCAAGGTTGTTTTGAATCCTAATCCTGTTCTCCAGAGTGGCAGCAGTCCATTTTATAACTATATTGTCCACTCGACTATCCAACTCATTAAGGAAAATACTGAATAATTAAAGTCCCAGGACGGACTCTTTGTACACTGCATATGGTCAATTGTGGTGTGCAATGTACACCTAGCCGATAAGCATTTTGAGTCCTTTCCACAAAAATTTCTGGCTATACTAATATCTGCATAACCCATTGGATCCATGGAAAAGAGTATACTTTTGTTGCCTGCAGTAATAATGTGATTTTTGTCTTGGTTTTTCTTCCCCCTCCCCCTCTTTAGAATGAATACCACAACATCACTGCTGAGCAGAAGTTTTTGAAGAAGCTTATAGATCAGAACTTTGTGGTCAGCTTGACGTGAGACTGAATAGACAATGGACCAATTATCATTATTTTCAACGAGATAGATTTTATTTTTTGTACTGTATTTTTTATTTTTTAAGTGCCATATCTGTTTAATGAGAGATTTAAAAGAAACCCCAATGAAGGAGTGCCATTTTCTCAGACTTATGATGGTGTGCCAGGAGATAGCGACAACAACTCGAGGGAACTTATTTCTGTGAAACTATTTAATTATGAAAAATACAACCTTCAACTAAAAATATCAGGGATATAGAAAAAATATGATGCACATCATTTATTTATCAAGGCATTTTTCAAGCAACTGGTTTCTTTCCTGTATCTTCCTTTCCTGTTTCATTATTCTTAAGAGCTAGATGTTGCTCAGAGATGTGGATGGCCATAAGGCTATAATTGATAAAGAGATACAAAGTCTTTCACCTCTCTGTTCTGGTTTGAAAACAATTTTGAAAAGTGTATCTGAAAATTATTACTATCTGAAGGGTGTCTACTGGCTGTGCAGTATATAAAATGCATTTTTAGTTTCTGTCTACCTCTTGGAGGGCAGATGTCCACAGCATAGAAAATAACCTTCATAATTCACTGTTTTATACTTTCTTGTTGTGTATCTCAACAAAGAAGCTGCAGACTGAACTGCCCATGCACTCTTGTACATAGCATGTATTCACCTGGGTTGGAGACCCACTGGTAGAACAGTGTGGGGAAATCTGGATTGATTCTGCTAATTTATGGATAAATTGTTCTTAATGCTGTCAGTTTGATGTCTTTCACAAGCACGTGAATTCACTTTTAAGAGAAAAGCACAAACTCCTTTTAAACTGTGGAATTATAGAAGAGTTTTTAAATATTTGAGTTGTCTTGGCACCACTATGTATTTACCACTTTCAGATGGATCCACAACCAGAACATCCCAATGAATATGAACTAGAATCTTGCGTGTGTTAATTAAAATATCTTTCAAACAAAACATCTTTGATGCATAGATTTCCCCCTCCACATACACACATACACTCCAGATGCCCTGGTATTATTTTTTCTCTAAGGCTATGTCTACACTACGTGTTTTGTCGGAAAAGGCAATGCAAATGAAGTGCTAATTAACATTTTCTCATGCTTCATTTGCATAATCTATTTCAATTAGTTTTTGCGCAAAACCCCCTTTTTGTGCAAGATAATTATGCCTCTCCCAGAGAGATCATAAGGATCTTGTGCAAAAAGGGGTTTTTGTGCAAAACGGACACGTCCACGCTGCATGTTTTTGAGCAAAAACCTCTTGCGCAAAAGCGGATCAGAATAGATTATGCAAATGAAGCATGAGAAAATGTTAATTAGCACTTCATTTGCATTGCCTTTTCCGACAAAACACGTAGTGTAGACATAGCCTTAGTAAGAGATGAAGCTGTATTTTCCAAACCAGCACAATTCCTCTCAACATAACCAGGTAACTATGAAGGATTTCAGAGCCCCAACAGATAATCATAAGCATCAATCATCATCTCTGCTTCTTGTCATTGTGAGCAAGGGAGCATATGAGACACATCCACCAATGCAGGGAGTTACTATTTTGTTTTTATTTGGCAGTTCCTTTGTTTTCCTTTCCTTTTCTCTCTTCCTGTTCTCTTGATTTTTAAGCAGAGTTGTGTGTGCATGTGAGAGAGTTTCAAAACCACTTGTATGATTTAGGAGACTAAATCCTATTGACTTTCAATGTAAGTGCCTATGTCATTCTGAAAATGGGACTTAGGCTTCTAAGTTGCTTAAGTTCTTCTGAATTTTTTTACTCAGGATCTTTAAGAGTTTGGTGGGATGGTCATATGTTGTGAATCAGTTGTCTCTGAGAAGTCTAGGGTAGCTTTGAGTTAAAACTGCATGAGAATGCAACTTTAGGACTTGATAGCTCCTGGTAACAAAGTAAAATTCCATTCTAACCATCCTATAAGATACATTAGTTAGGGAAGGTATGTTTAAGACTCTGTGGTCAATTGATCAATCTTCCAGGAATCAGAAAATCACAAAGAAGTATGCTTCAAAGGAATTTTGAAAGTGGATAAAATAGCTCTACATTCCACAGCAGTATATATTCATTTGAACCAAGACTAATCTAACAAACTAGGAGTGTGGGCTTGCATATGTCAGAAATGAGGGCATGAAGCAAAAGACTGAATCTTGAAATAGAGTATTGACCACAATTTACCTTATATCATAAATGTAAAAGTAAATGGATACCTGGCTAGATCAGAGTAAAGGGGTCAAAGATTTTCTGTTATTCCTCTTCTATTTCTGTCAGTCAGAAATGTTAAGTATTTGAATACATTTATATAGGTCTCTCACACACATACCCTTTTTTAAAGGAGTGTGGTGCTAGTGAGTGCTATAATTCTTTATTCCTGATCTCAGATTAATTTTTTTGGATTAGTCAGGATTAGGCTCTAGTGAGGCCACATTATACCACATTTGGTAACGACTTGATGATTTTGAGTAATTTCAGATGTCTTTAGAAGATGCGGTTGAGGCTCTCGCTCTGTTAATCGTGTATATCTATTAATCATGTCTGTGTTGCCCTTGCTTGAAAATTTGTACACAAACTGGTACATTGTTTTTCACAAGAACTCTTGTAACTGACTGGCATTTATTTCAATTAATGTAAAAGGCTTCTCTTTTGTGGAAAGAAAGCCATGATCTGTTGCATCAGAACTGCAGTCATTATTTGTGTGTGTCTAGTGCTGGGGAGAAAGAGGTTTTTATGTAATTAATACACGTGTGGTTTTCAAAAAGCACTCAATGTTGGCCCAACTCTGCTCTCCTTGGAGACATTGGTAAAACTTCCACTTCAGTGGAGCCAGAGCTAGCCAAAAGTGAAAATTATAATTTATAAAATTAGGAAAATGGCAGCCACATGCTCATCCAACTATATGAGGTCATCTCCTAAGCATCTGTGGAGAGCCTGTTACACTCTGACAGTATGTTGACAGTAAAGACTTGTACCAAAGTATCAGTGTTTAGTATGAAAGTATTACAGAAAGTACCTCCAAAATTAGCTATATATTTTGTGCTCTCCTTTTGAGGGTCCCCTGATATTTATTTTTGTCATTTCTGTTTCCTTTCCTCTTTGAAGAAGGAAAGGTGTGGCTTTGGAAAAGTGGTTAGTTCTTCATTTATATTTGTTGTTTTCCAAACTGGTGGTATCCATGCATCTACTCATCCTCTTGCATCTTTTCTCAAGTTCCTTTCATGGGGTTTATTTTGTTTGGCGACATAATAACAAGTTATGGGTAGGTTTCAGCCAAAGGAGTGACAATTGAGATTAGTGACAGTTCTTCACCTAGACTATGCACATATTGCCAAATAGTGACAACTGGAAATAGGAATGCAAAGAGAACAAAGTTAAGCTTTCGGAGCACCCTTAATACATACTCGGAATGCCACATACATAAGAGCTGAGGATACTGTCTTCATTTACAGGTGAGTAATTTGATCTTTAATATGAAGCAGTAAAATTGATATACAAAGGTTTTTTTGGTGCATAATGGAGGCTTTATAGAATTCTGTATACAATGGATCTAATTCTTCACTGCCATGATGTAGTCATTTTCACCTAGGGAAAGTGAACGCAACATAATTTCAAATCCAAATAGCAGCATTTTGCACCCATATTGCACAGGTGCAAATAATAGCCAAGGGGGATAGTGGAGAATCAGTATCACTGTGTCTTTTTTAAATATAACACACGTTTTTAAGGTCATCCTGTGCCAGTGTTATTCCAACTTGCCTTGAGATTTTTCTTTTTAAAAATGCATTGAGCAACTAGAGCACAATCTTTTTCTAAGATTCGCTTTGCATTCGGTTTAGAGGGTACAAAATCTACAATGCACCACTGTGTTAAAAACTGCTTTTTATTTGTGTTTCTGCATCAGCACAAGTTGAAGTCTTCAGTTTTTGAATTCCAAGGCACTGCAAATTGTGTTCCTTGTACAGTGCCAGTATAACTGTGCAGGCTACTAATGCATTTCTGGGCAATTTCCGTCTGTCAGCTGCAATAGTCCTTCAGCTTTAAGACGCAATCAAAATACCAGTGAAATGAATAAGAGTCTTCAGTGGCCTTTGGGGAGGATTCTTAAAGCAATGGACTCAAGTTTGCTTTGTAGTGAAAGTTACCTTAATTTCTTCAACTGTAAAAATTATAGGCAATTCTGAGATCAATGCACTAAGGGTGAATCTGAGTGTTTAATATACATCTGTAGATTACTTTTCCATTGAAAATGTATTATTCCTATTTGGGAATGATGAGGTGGTTTAATATTTAGTATGTGATATGTCTTATGTACACAAACAATATACTTGCCTTTAAAAAAAAAGCCCATGAGCACCTTTAAATATTGTTTTAAGCTAAAATATGGAAACAGTGTTGTGTATCTGTATTATTTGTGTATATGTTTTAATAAAGCGTATAATTTTTAAAAGTATGTGAAAATCAAGCTTTTTTTCTGGTTTAAGTAAATATTTGATTTATTTTGCTGTTTGGGTTGATTTTTATGTGCCTTTGAATGCTATAACTGCATTTTGGCAGTCAGTGGCTGTTATCAGGTGTTTTAAGTGGAGTTTTGAATATTATAAGTCAGATTCTTTTCCATATAATAAATCTGTTTTAAGGATACTGCCCTCTCCAGGTGCATTTTAGCAAATCAGAGCACTAGATCCAATTACTGCATTATATAAATGATATATAGTGGATCTATCATTGCCATTCAGCTGACACACTTAATTTGACAAAAGAGAAGTCAAGTTTCTGTGGTGGTGGTGGGTAGAGAAACAAGGAGGGCAAATGCTATCTATGTCCCTTTAGCATGAGCTGTAGCATAGTACAAAAATAAGGGCAGGGGAAAATCACTCTCTTTTGGAGGGAGTGTGAATGACACTTTTTGCAAACCAGGGTTCAAACTTCTCTGTGGTAAGCAAAATCTCGTCATAGTTGGTGAGAGTAAGTTATGGCGAGGAGAAAAAATTCTCTTGAAGGCTACATTTACATGAGTTTTAATTTTGTTTGTCATGAGTAGTGTCCAGGAGCTCAGTAGGAAGAGCTTGAAGAAAGAAGAAGCGTACAGGAGACTTCAGAGGAAGAGCGCAGAAAGAAATAGTAAAGAGCATGTTATTTTGTGCTTCAGCACTGTTCTCTTTTTCTCCCCACCATGAACTTGAGTTTGGAAAAGAAAAAGCCCTTCATTCAGTTTGTGCTTTTAGGGATTCTGAGTCTGGTCCAGTGATCAAAAAGAAAAGAGGGAAAACCCCACCATGAATGAGATCCATTCATTTTAGTATTGATATTTTGTGCTAGACCATTACATTTTGACCTGAGAAATCGGCTGTCCCAAAGGCACATCAGAGGATGACTGAATTAAACTATGCCTTGTAATGATGATACTTTACACTTGGGGGAGGGGAGAGTCTTTTTATTTTTGGCACTCAGCAATTTCAAGGGTGAGTAAACTTCTCTGTTTGCCAGATGGGAAAATTGAGATGCAGAGAAACATCAGTGTCTATGGTCCCACAAAAAGCCAATGGTAGATCTGGGAACAGAATTCAGATTTCCTGACTCCCTATCGGATGGCCTATCCTCAGCAGCATGCTGTGCAGCCCACACTATATATTCATTGGTAGGTGCAAGGCCTAAAAAGAGAATATCACTAATTGCCCACACATGAGGAACCTGTCCTTACACCCCACACTTTTCTACAGTGTGTTCAAGCAACTCACCTAAGTCTCCATACCAAGTCGTGCGCTCGCTCTCTCTCAATCTCTCTCTCTTTCTCTCTCTCTCACACACACACCCTCCTCCCCCCCCCCGAGCCTATACAATATCAACGCCACACTACTGTGCATCAAGCAAGGCTGTGCAGTCTGAAGATCTATGTAGCAGAGCCCGTGGCATTTTCTCATTGATTCAGGATTCTAGAGGCACCATCTACTGGTAAATGCTCTGTGATTACATTTGGTTTCCTTGTTATATGCATTAACAGCCAGCTTGGCAAAAAATAATGTCCTCTATACAGTATCATTCACACTAATTTGTTTTCAATAGATTCTGAGTGTCCTTGTGCCCCGAAATGTGA